TCAACCTTAAACAATAATCTTTGTCAATTTTATTTTCAGTCTTTATGATGGTCGATACTTGATCTATCTCTTACTGTTACATCCCCAGGCAACGCCGGGCTCTACTGCTAGTATATATATATATATATATATATATATATATATATATATATATATATATATGAAGAAAAATATACGGAAAAAACCAAACAAAAATCCTAATATGCAATTATGCTGTTTTAATGTTAATATGATGTCAACGTCGGACGTTTCGGTCTAGTAGACCATCTTCAGGACATATTCATGAAACATAATTAACATTAGACTATTGAAAACGGATATATTGAAACGGAACGCTGATCTTGAAAAATTTCAGTTGTCTGTTTTGATTAGTTTTACTCTTATGTCCATTGTCTTTTCATGTTGAATTAAATATAGTCTATATAACTAATCCTAAGCGTCAAACTTTCGTCAGTTAGAGCTTTTAAAGGTAGCCCCAAGTGTTACAATTAGTGATTTCCGAAATTTCGTAGTGTCGGCCTTTACTAAGTAGTCGTAAATGTTGCAATTGCTGTATTTTAAAATTTCATAATTTTAGGTTTTCAAAAGTGGCTCCAAAGGTTGCAATTATCGATTTTGAAAATGTAGTGTTAGGGTTTTAAAAAATAACCCAAACGTTACAAATAGTGATTTTCGAAATTTCGTTGCGTTGGCCTTTTAAACGTAGCCGCAAAGATTACAATTATTGAATTAGAAAATTTCTTCGTGTCATCCTTTCAAAAGTAACCCCAATGCTAGTAATTAGCGAATTTCATAGTTAAGTCGTTTTCAAAAGTAGCCAGGGAAGTTGCTATTATATTTCAAAATTTCACAGTGTTAGACTTTCAGAGGTCGTCCCAAAAGTTGCAATTATCGACTTTCACCGTTTTGTTGCGGTGTTCTTTCAAAAGCAGTCCCAAATGTTACATTTCAAAATGTAATAATACAAGACTTCTAAAAGTTCCCAAATCTGGTAATTCTGCCTTCAATATAGAAATGGACAGTACGTTTTGTCATTAAATAACGACCTTTTCTTATACTGTAAGTATCGAACTCACTATTCCTGGTCAACCTGATTAGCCTTGCTAACCACTGCACCAGATTGAGACACCCGACATATTAAGAAAGAGTGATGCAAAATATAAACTTTAACATGTTCTATTAAAGGTATTTTATATGACCTAAAATATTGTGAAATTTGTTTTTCAATAATTATAAGAATTAAAGCCAACTCACAAAGCGAGAGGGACATGTTAATCTGTCGACTGTCAAGCTACGACCTGCATATACGGATAAGGACCTTCGTGTTTACACTATTTACATTATTTGGAATGTTTTCCTCATCTTTATTGTCATATTCACGACGTTACGGCCGTTGTATGCTCCAGCCTTCTTCAGGTGATATACGTTGGAATTTCGAATCGAACCCTTTATTTAGTTCACTGGAGTAAATTGTTCTAGTTCCACATGCCATGACTTTTCTGGATGTTTCCGTTTCAGTTATTTCCCTTTCATAACTCATTTCTCCAAGGACAAATGACCCAGTGGGTAAAAGCGTTGGTTGATGTAATCCAGTAACTTGACCCAAAGAGTTGTGAGTTTAATACCTGGCCACAGCAGAGGTGAACAAAAAATTGGAGAGTTGAGTTACTAAAGTGAACTAACTGAAACTGAGATATCCAGAAAAGGCATGGCACGTGGAACTAGAACAATCTACCGCCGTCGATTAAATAGAGGGTTCGGTTGACCTGAAGGAGGCCAGAGAGTACAACGGTCGAAACGTAGTTCATATGAAACTAAAGATGAGAATAACAGGCTGAATAATGTAAATAGTTACAATATCTCACCTCAGAAATATAGACAGATTTTGAGGGTCCTTCGTGTTTCGTAATTTAACTTTGTAAAGAGATATATCGGTTTACATGGTTTGCTCAGTCCGATTCTCTGAAGTAAATACCGTATTTTCCGGCCAATTGGACGCGGATCTTTTCCAAAAAAATGCACCAAAAAAATTCCCCTGCATCCAATACAGCAGCATCATATATGAGAGAGGGACATGGGCACCTCGACATGGTGAAATGGTTAGCAAGCTTGTCTCGCTAGATCAGTTATGAGTGAATAGTGAGTTCGATCCTCACTGCGTGCTCCGTACTTTCGGTCTTGTGCCACATCTAACCTACGCTTAGAAAAGCACGATAACACGCTATTTGTGCACTTCGACGTAGTGTAATGGTTAGCAAGCTTGTCTCGGTAGATCAATTACGACTGAATAGTCAGTTCGATCCTCACTGGCTGCCCCCATACTTTCGGCTTTGTGCCAAATCTAAGCTACGCTTTGAAAATCGACTTTTACCTATTACCATATGTACCAGTGTTCATTGATACCAGTAGATTTCTTTGTAGCTATTATGAATTCATTGTTTGTGCAACTGTTGCTCTCTGAAAAACAACCAAAATAATTTTAAATAGATGCTTAAATGTACTAAAATTATTCTTTTTCAAAAGATATCCTGGTAATTAAACCTTACCACACTTCTATTTTTAAAAGTATCAGTAGTATAATTTGTATCAGTAGTATGGTTTGTGCTAATAGAGTAAGTGTGTCTTCATGGTTAGTGAGAATGCCACATACAGGTAAGGTTATAATTTTGACTTTTTGGTTGTGGTGTGTGCATTTTTTCCCTAAATAATCCATGCAAAAATCTGGGTTTGTCCAATGTTTTAGAGCGTCCAATAGGCCGACAAATACGACACATGGCTTTTGGTGTTCAGAACATCATTCTCTTGTCTTAACTACTGGTTGAAACGTAAACTTTGGTTAATATCAAGACACTGGGCAGTCGTACTTGAAGGACGCATTGGAAAAATTGACTGGTTATGAAGAGCTGTATAGTTTATTCAGAAGATGAAGCTCAACATTTTAAGAGAGGACAACTTATAATATAAGTCTATTGAAACAGTTGTAGTTCTTTTTTTTTTCAAAGGTAAATCCATTGTGTATAGAGGAAAAAAAATCCCACAGATCCAGGTAGATCCAGGTAAATACAATCGTTTCAATATTTCTAGTCTAATTATTACAATTGACAACAAATTGATATTATTTTTACTGGTGAGTGGAGATACTTTTATAAGGGAAGATTTACAAATGCTTCATACCTCTTCCTAAGATTAACAGTGAAAAAAGGCTTTGATCGAGTAAAGCCTGTGGATATTGGCAAAGATCATCCTTCGTTGAACATTGTAGACTGGCGCTACATAATCACAAACGACAAACTGTACCAAATAACAGAAATCACATAACTTGAGTCTACCAACAGATGCAAAAACTTAAATGGATAGCACATGTGACTAGAAGAGACGGCAATGGCATAAAGAAGATGTCATCTTTCCACAGCACTTCAAACAAAAGAATTGGAAGGAAACCCCACCATCATTACTGGAAAGAGCGATAACAGCTACTGAACTAGAGAAATCTGTGTTGTGATACAGAAGGGTGATATTTTATAATGCTAAAAGTAACCTTGCCATCAGTGATTGTAATAAATAAGGATATTTCATCATCCCTGAAATAAAGATAAAAAAAATCATCATCCTAAAATCAACCTTGCCACCAGTCATGAAAGATGAGAAAGTGTTGTAACCTTGGAAGGGTTACTGAATGAGGAATAATCAAAATAGTGGTTGGAAATGAAACGATAATCTTTATAACATCAACCAAAATACAATACTCGCCAGCGGCGTGAGTTAGGTAAACCACTGCTAGTGATGGACTACTTATACTTAGACAGCATATTACCCCCACTTACAATAGTGTCCAGGGTATTTATGAGGATTGGGACATACCCATTAGTGTTCATAGATACGGTATATAACAGAAATATATTTCATCAATATAAAATCGGATTATAAAAACGACCCTTCATCACAAGGGACAGCAAGTAGGGCCAGTAGACTGGCAGTAGCAGTAGTAAAAAAGGCTCATCAGATATGTATCCTCATCCCTCTGTGAAAATCGAAAACTGACGATCTCAAACGTTATCCTCATCAACAAAATTCTCGGAACAAACAAAAACAAGTAAGCACAAACTTTTAAAGAATCAAAAGACACATTAACACTTTAACACACACAATACCAATATCTGTAATTCGTATTATTAATTATTAATATATTGTACGTTTTTTATCCATTTCGTTTCCAGTATAAAAAAAATAAAAAAGGATTCCTTTATCAATTACCACTACAAATATATATAATAACGGGGTAACTTAAACATACCTCAACATCCCACAACGTTAGAACAGTTCCGCTAAAGTATTGTCTTAAGAGAAAGATTTTATAAATTTCAGTCGAAAGCAGCACCGGCTCGATCCTCTATGGTAGTATTGTAGACTTCATGAATTTAAAAGCAATAAGGCCTCATCATTTTACAGTTGAATTTGCAAGATGTAACTGTAAGTTCTATGCTAACATTTTCTTTTTTTTTTCGCACTGCTCCCTTGTAGAACTCTCCTGCGGTTTCTTGCTTTGCAACCAACATTGATCTTCCAAAATTTAAATATAATGTCAATTGTTAGTTTCTTTTTTCTTAATTCTTGTTCTTGTATAGTTCTCGCTTTTTAATAGGGATTTTCCATTTTTTCTCATACTCTCTAACACTCAGTAACTCCTTGTGTCTTAATGGCTCTTGCTTGCTTCTATCTTGCTTCTCGCTTGTGGAACTCTCTTCCGGCTTCTTGCTTTCAACTCACAAATTTAAATGCAATGTCAATCTTTATCTCATGATTCCTCTTCTTTTATTGTTCTCGCTCCTTAATAATGTTTCTCTTTTTTCTTATTCTTCAAAACCCCTTAGTGTCTTAGTGACATTATTGCCTTGCTTGGGGTGAAACAATTAAAAAGAAATAATCTTAGAGCCGGATTTTTACATCTTTACTCCTTCCCACGAAGACTTCGATCTTCGCTTGACCCTGAGCATCGACCCCTATTCCTTCTCCACGCTTCCCCGATTCTCACAACTGGTTATTTCGGAGGATGGGTATTGAAGGACAAAGTGATTTCGTTTCACAGCCGGCTGGAAAGAAGCGACACGAGTGATCTTATCGGTTTCAATTGGCTCCCTTGTTTGAGAGGCCAACTCGTCAAGTGGCCTGACGGGGCCGACGGCCACTTTTTCAACAACTTCGGACTTGCTAGATCTCCCCTTGAAAAATGACCGCAGTTAACCGTGTGCGATTCTCTGCCTGTCAGCACAAGCGTATTAATGTGCAAGCATATACATACACATCTGTGCATATATTTAGTGATATAAGAACGCATTATTATTTAGTGATATAAGAAGGCATTTTTATGCATTTCACTCCAAGCAAGGCAGGGGTGCCACTAGCACGCAGGGGATTACAGAGAGTGAAAGTGAGAGAAAAAACTGGGTAGTGGGGGGAAAGGGTAAAAGATGAAAGGAGATCATGGCAACAGAAGCTAGCGGTTGCCGCTGCATATAAACTTCTAAAAATTGTAGTTATCAGGGAAGCAAGTAAGAGGAAGGGACTTCCGATGTCGAGTAAAGAAACTGCTGGAGTAGAAGTGTTGGTTGCATTTAAGTATTTCAACAATAAAAGGGTGGGACCTAGATGCCAATCTAGTAGCACGCTTAAATTCATGTAGTCAGGTTATCAGGGAAGATAGCTCATCAGAACAGTTGCCATGGAAATATTTGTAGAAAAGCCAGAGGGAAGCCACATCACGTCTATGAGAAAGTGACTAAAGTCGAGATATCAATTCAGGACCGATTACATTGCAGATCCATCTTTGGATTTTGTCGAGAATCTCGGAATGAACAGCAGGGGCACCAGACCAGATACGGGAACAATATTCATTTCATGGAGAAATGTTAGATTTGTAAGTGTAAGATGGACTATAACGAGAAAAAACTTCTGGCACGGCACAGTGAACCGACTTTCCTCGTAGAAGCACTCACACATATGTGTACGTATGTGTGTGTGTGAGTGTGTGTGTGTGTGTGTGTATAACGCGCTCTAGATATTGGCGAAGAACGAACGTTTGTAAATCTCTTTTTAGCCGTACAGCTGCAAAGCTTGCTGATCTGGTTGGCTCTTATTTGTACATTCGAACCACTGTCGATGCTACATAATCACGGGGTTAAACTGTATTAGGTTGGAAAAAAAGTTCGTAGCGTCTTCTCAGTGAATTTCAAAGACAGTATATATATATATTTAGTAGCAATATGTTTCAGAGATTATGAAAAAAAAAAGTTTGATAAGTTACAAAGAACTGCTAAAACTGTTAGGTATGCTTGATTTATTTGGGAAGGATATTAGAATAATCCAGAACTTATCCTGAGACCAAACTGCCTGGAGGAGGAGAGAAAATGAATTTAGTAAATACAGAAAAATAGAAAGGGGCGTAAGACAAGGATGTGTCTTCTCACCGGACGTATTCAACCTTTATAGTGCAGCAATCTTCAGCGAATTAGAAGTCCTATCAGGATTCATTATTTGTGGCCACAATCTAAACACCATTAGATATACTGCTGACACATCGTTGATCGCAGAAACAGAAAGGAAAATACAAGAACACCTACAGAAGGTAGTAAAAGAAAGGAAAGCGTGATGAAAGGACTAAATATCAAATATAAGAAGACAAAATGTATGGTTGTCAGTAAAAGGAACAATTCAATATATGAATTACAAATTGAAGATACCAAAATTAAACGAGTGCGAAATTTTAATTATTAGGATGGAAAACGCGACATCGAAGACCGAAGCCGCATTGGTATAGCGAAAATACTTTTCAAAAGTTAAGCAAAGTATAAAGAAGTAGGAAAATTTTGCTAGACAGGAAGAAAATAGTACTGAACTGCTATGCCATATCATTCCTCCTATACGGCAGTGAAAAGAAATATGGCTACACAGGAGGATGCTGAGAATAACATAGACTGAACATATGAGAAACGATAAAGTTTTTGACAAAATGGAAACAAAAATGACGCATACTTAGAATGAGAAAAATATAATTGATATTTCTAGGGCACATAAAGAAGAAAGATGGCTTGGAAAATTTAACACTCACAGGATATGTTCAAGGCAAGAAACTGCGAATAACTTACCTAATGAGCATATGCAAATTATTGGTGAAACAGGACTTAGGAGAAATGTGAGATGCGTCATTTGATGGTCTTTCATTTCTGGAAAAGAAAGAAATTGCTGTACAAACAGTAAAAAATATGTGTCATTTATGGAGATGGTGCCGTATCTGAGGGTACTGTTCGAAAGTGCTTCGCTAAGTTCAGAAGTCGAAACTTTCATGTGGAAGATCATGAACGTTCCGACAGGCCTGTAGTCTTTGATGATGGCCAAATCTAATCACTGTTTTTTTTGAAAACGTAAGGCGTTTGAAAATACTTGGATACGCGAATAGCTATGATGTTTGTGTGCTTCACAATTTAATAGAAAAAAGAATTAACACTAGGATGGCCGAGGTGTCCTTTTCGACACCTTCAAATTTTCAACAAATTCCTATGGAATAACTAGTTTTGGTTCAATGCTGAGGCTTATGGACAATTATTGAATTTTAGCAAAGATGCTTAACAGACTTAATTCTTTAAAAATATTCAGTGGAATAGCTGATATTTGAGGTTTTACCTTGAATGGCCGAGGTGTCGTTTTTGACACCTAGCCTATTTATAGGGTAAATGCATTGAAAAATTTCTCCCAAGCAATAATACTTGTGTTTATGTCCCCTATCTATCTATTTATCTATCTATCTATACACACACACACATATGAGGTATACTAATATTTATGAATTTCTTTTCAGACTTGTTATTCCTGACTTGAATATTGAATATATTAGAGATGGCTGCTTCACGGCGTAATGGAAATAAAGATGTCAAAGGAGCTGGCCATCCTAGTGTTAATGAACAGTATTCCTGTCCGCAATTTTATGCTCAAGCGCAAAAAAAAAAAAAAAAAAAATGAGCGATTTTTGAAAGGAATGATCACAGGCGATGGAAAATTGATTGTTTAAAGTAGTCAGTCAGTTATGCGCCATGCATGATACACGCTTAGGCGATCATTTATCTTTCGATACATGACTGACGAGGCAGATTTTTTTCCCGCGGTAGGTTGCCATTTCTTTCTGCGGTAGACCAGTTGCCATACAAGGCTATAGAACCCGGCCTGTCCTGCTATTTACCCATAGGTGGAGGAGGGAGAAGAAGAGGAGGATTCATACCTTTTCCAAGGGTATTAGCACCTAAGTGAATGTAATGGATTTGACTGAAATTCGAACTCGGCTCTCCGATTGCTCAATCCCAACCGCTATCCATTACTCCACCGTTACGCCTCCTTTACAATAACATGAAGCGAAAAAGGTTCTTGGGAGAAAACGAATTGAACCGCCGTTAAACACACCGAAAGCCGGTCTGCATCTACAGAAGCTAACACCCTTCATGTGATGGCCTTAGAAGTAGTGCTGTCTGTTGATCTGTAGAAATACATATTTCTCCATGTTTCCTTTTAACGTAAAAACACATTTAAAATTTCCATTTCACACATGAATCATACGGAGAAAAAAACACGGCGAAAAGTCTCCGTTCAACATACGTATATTTTTTTTAATCATTTCTCCCCAAGCAAGGCAATAAAGCCCCTATGACGCAAGGGAGTTATTTATTGTTAGAGAATATGAGAAACATACTGTTAAGGAGAAAGAACAATAAATTAACAAGAATAAAGAAGCCAGAAGATAACGATTGACGTTGCATTTAAATTTTTGAAGATCAAAGTTGAGTAGAAAGCAAGAAGCCGCAAAAGACTTCCACAAGCGAGAAGTGCAAGTGAAGAAACTGTTAGCCTAGAACTTACGGTTATATCTAGCCATTTCAACTATAAAATGACGAAAACTTTAAATTCATGAAGTCTAGGTATCATAGAGTAAAGTGTTAAGAACAAATACCATGAACTTATTTATAAAAATAGACAAGGAAGCCACATTGTAGTGGTGGGAAAGTGACTGAAGACGAGATACCATGTCAGAAAGAATAACATTACAGACTCTTTGGCTTTTATCAATAATCGCTAAATATATAGCAGGAGCATCAGACCAGATGTAGCTGCAATATTCAAGGGATGTACGAATGGTAGACTTATAAATATATAAGATAGAATCTGACAAGAAAAAAATTGGTTAACACAATACATTAAACCAAATTTCCTAGCAGCAGAGCTAGCAATTGATTCAATTTTATCTTTCTCCTTCATGTTAGTCCGAGAAAGGGCAATGGGTCACTCTCCTGGAGGTCAGCAACAGCCATGCTGATGGAAGTCAGAAATGGATCTCTCAGATGGCGGATAAAGAGCAGTTTTGTTTTGGAGTCGTTAAAATTAACAAGCGATTCCTTGCCTCCAGTTAACAGCAGATTGTATATGCAATAAATGTGAGTCATGCGAGAAACGAAATCTTGTGTTCAAACGACAACTGTTGAAAAACTATTGAATTTTGCTCCTAACCAACATATATGAAGAACCCGGGAATATTAAATCGATAGAAAAGTTTATGCATATTCAAAAGAAAAAAAGAGTCAAATTTAAGAAAAAAAAAGACAAGCAGAATAAGAGAGAATGAATATAGAATGATATAAAATATAGAATGATATAGAATATAGAATGATATAGAATATAGAATGATATAGAATATAGAATGATATAGAATATAGAATGATATAGAACGGAATAGAGGGAAAATGACAACACAGACTGGAAAAAAAAGACAAGAACAAAAGTTAGTTGATAGAGAGATAGACAGAAACATATTAAAATAGATAGCGATAGAGCGAAGATGAGAATGAGAAGACAAGAAAGAGAGAAGAAGCAGAAAATGGGAAGGACAGAAACATTTGCAGAGTAAACAAAGAAATAGAAAAAGACGAAACTTGTCTTAAGCGAAAGGTGTCCTCCAAACGAATGTGTCTGTGTGTTCGCTGTCAAATGCGCCAAGTAGCAAGAGAAAACACGGGGTTTTCCCTGGTACTGGTAAATTTGCGCATGCGCACTTATCTCAAGCAAGTACAAGTTCGGTTGTCTGTCCGCCATTCGTTCTTTTCGATATTCTTGGCTCCGTGGCACGCGAGCTGTTGGAGTGGGCAGTCACTTGGAACAATCTCAAAGATTAGTCCCGGCGGGCGAACTCACTCACTCTCTCTCTCTCTTTCATTCCCTCTTGCTCTCTGTCATCTCTTTCGTTCTCCGGTTCCACTCGAAGGAGCCCCCGAGTAGAATTTCGACACAAGAGCCTGCGGCGGGAAAATACAGTGAAGGCGGGAAAGGCGGGGACGTTAAGAATAGGTTAGAAAAAAAAAAGATGGTTGTAATGTGTCCGGTGGGAGTGGGGGGGAATGTGTGGGCAGGTACTTTAGGCTGCCAAATGGCGTGACGATTACCGACACAGAAAACGGAACTGTCGTGACCATTTCAAATTTCAGTTGCGGTTTATTTTAACGTTCTCAAAAAAAAAATAAAATAAAATAAATAAATAAATAAAAGCACGAAACCTCTACTCCCAGCGATCTGGGTAATTCCTAATAGCTTGACAAATAATCTCGTCACTGGCATATCACGATCGTTAACGAAGATGACGTTAACGGAGATGGTTAACGAATAGGATGACGTAACTCTTCGATAAACGATTCCCCCATAATTATAGTGTCCCCTGCAGCAGTAGCAATAAGTTGCTATTTTTTTTAAAGCATTTCACCACAAGCAAGTTGGGAGTGCCACTAGCACGCAAGGGGTTACAGAGAGTGTGAGCAAGAGTAAAGAGACGTGATAGAAGAAAGGATATAGAGAAGGACGGGTAATTAGATCAAAGCATAGGAACATGTCGATTGACATTGCATTTGAATAATTAAAGATTATAGCTATCAGGGAAGCAACTAAGAGGAAGGGAGTTCCACTGACGGGAAGTGCGAGACATGAAGCTATTGGAAGAGACAGCTACATTTAACAGTTTCGACAGTGAAAAGGTGGGACTGAGATGCCAACCTAGTAGCACGCTTAAATTTATACAGTTTGGGAACCAGCGAAAGTAGCTCATCGTAGCAGTTACCGTGAAAGTATTTGTAGAAAAGACAGAGGGAAGCGACGGCACATCTATGATAAAGTAACTATAGACGAGATGCCAGATCAAGACCAGTCACATTGCATATCCATCTCTGGATTTTGTCGAGGAGCTTGGGGCAAACAGCGGGGTCTCTAGACCATATATGGCAGCAGTATTCCATGTAAGGACGAATGGTTGGTTTATAGATTTGAAGAATGGAGTCAGGCGAGAAAAAACCTTTCTGTCGCGACCCAAGAAACCAACTTTCCTTGTTGTAGATGATGTTGTTACCATCGTATTCAATCTTGGAAGAAGACAGCTATTAATATCGCGCACATACAGGTGGGGGGGTGCAAATTAGATATACAGTAAATATTAAAAAAAGTATATATATCTTTAGTCATCGTCTGCATTATGCAAATGACCTAAATATCACTGCAGACGCCATTACCAATGCATCAATTCTCTTACATCATCAAGAAAATGCTGCTAACGGTGGACTTAAATTCAAGGACTCTAAAACTGAGTACATAAGCTACAACCAGCAAGGCTCAATAGAATCTGTGTCGCGGGAGAACCAATAAAATCTATCGAATATATACTTTGGAAGCGAAATAAATTCCACTGAAAAGGATGTGAACATTCGCATAGCTAAAGTCTGAGCTGCCTTGAATAAACCCAGATGCTGAGAGCCATACTTGACATCTCTTGGAAACGACATCCAACTAAATCAAAGCTCTATGGAACCATCCCTGATATTTCTACAATCTTCCGTGAACGCCGAAGGCTCTTTTCAGGGTAATGCTGACGTGCAAAACAAGAACTTACGAGTGATCTACCGCTCTGGACACCAAACCATGGCGCAAGATAGGCTAGTCGTCCTGCGATCACCTATAGTGAGTTTTATGACACACAATGCCAAATTAATGGCCTTCCGACCTTGATACAGGACTGTGATGGTTGGCGTGATAGTCTCATCAATGTCCGAGCAAGCTCGACAGAATAAAAAAGACATTCATGCCTCTTTACTTATAAATGACTTATTTCTTGGTGTCATGTTAGTTTCTCAGGTTTTAGTAATTATATCAGTAATATATATATTTTTCTTCAGGCTTTAGTTGTTAAATTTAGTCGTTTAAAATATATAGTCGTATAACTGAAAAGTACCGACGATTTTAGATAGATAGATAGATAGATAGATAGATACCCGAAAAAATAAGGACATTCTGAAATAGAGAGATAGACACCTGGGATGATAGATAATAAAATGGATGTAATCTGGAAATCTGGTGGACAAGGAAACTTCAAGTGGTGATTCTTTCGAGCGGAGTTTTAATGTATGTCGCTACTGCCTGGACATTAATTCCAACCCTAGAGTCTAACTTAGATGGAACATATATTCAGATGCTGAGTGTTATACTTAATATCTTTTGAAGACAACATCCAACAAGATCACAGCTCTATGAACCCATCCCTGATATTTCTACAATCTTCCGTGAACGCCGAACGCGCTTTTCATGACACTGTTGGTGAGCAAAACAAGAACTTGCGAATGATCTACGGCTCTGGACACCTAACCATAGTGCAAGACGGATAGGTCGGCCAGCAATCACTTACATTGACCAGTTATGTGATGACAGAGTATGCCACCCTAATGACTTTCCGACCTTGATGCACGGCCGTAATCGGTGGCGTCATAGACTCATGAATATCCGAGCGAGATGGACCTAATAAAAATATTTGATATCTTTGTATACACTGCGTTTTATGTGCACGTTTTATTTTTCATTACCGTATACCTATACACGCATATTAGGGCGCATCCTGTAGGTCGATCTTTAGCAAGCTAGAAACGATTGTTCTGTTGAATTGCTCCTCCAGTGTAGATGTATGCCAGACTAAGCTCAGCTGAATAAGTAGACGTCTGCCATGGGTAAGAAACCCTTCACAGTTATGATCTACGCCAGGCCATGTACAAAGGGCCGAATCTTCCTCGTCCCCTTCGTATTCCATTGATAAGGAGGAAGTTCCACTCAAGCGGTTTCTTCCCAAGAACAATTACTTTGTAGAACAGACTCCCAAGAGGATGATTCCCCGATCACCACAATCTTAACCTCTTTGCCCTGTTGGCTCAGGCTTCAGAATACGCCGACTGCACCTCTGAGACCCACCCTCCCAATGAACCTTTTTGGGTATGACGATAAACTACATCCGGCAGCAAGGCCTCTGAACAAGATGTCATGAGGAGCGTTGAACCACCTCTTGGTTCGGTCTGGTAACACCTGTTAGGGTCCCAGATATAGGCAAATATTTAACTCCCAAACTTGGGTCAGAACACTATGAAAGTATAAAAATAGGTTTTAATACCAGAGATACATTTTTGGAATAAATATTACAGGCAATATATTTTTTGAAAAAAGAATTTACCAGCAATAAAAAATCTTGTTGGCATTAAATAACTCATTGAGATTGATATTCCATAAACCAAATCAAACCGAAAATCTTCAAGTCTAAGGTCAACCGTTATCTATCCTACATATCCTCAATAATCTGCACTTACTTCCTCCTCTTACGCCCCACCCCCTCAAAAAAAATAGAAAAAAAGCCCATTTTATCGGGTAGCATGTTTTGGTAGTTAGTAAATCGCTGTAAAGTGCCTACCGTAGATTGGTTTGGTTTGTTTTGTTTTACGGCATATCAACACCTCTATGGGTTATTGAATACCGACAAAATTTTCATTGTTGGTAATATTATTTTTTTCCCAAAAAACTATTTCTGGTAAGAATTTTCCTTCGCTGGTACTTCACTTTTCAAAACGTATTTGTGGTATTAAAACCTATTTTTACACTTTCACAGTGTTTTGACTAGAGTTTGGGGGTTAACTATTTGCCCATACCTGGGACCCTAACAGTTGCTACCACCCCGGGTCAGGGTGAACTCGAGAACACCAGCAATTAAGAGGTGCTTCCACGCTCCTCAAAACCTCCTGATCAGAGGGCTTGCTGCTGGACGTAATTTATCGTCATACCCAGGACGCGGATGTAGTTTATCGTCTTACCCAGGATGGGCCGACCGTAGAGTGATAGTTAAGGCTTAGTTCTCTTTGGTTTCTATGTTTAATGGCATATCTTTCCTTATGAGTCATTTAATGCTGAAATTTTATTTTCTTGTGAGCTTTGGTAATTCTTTATTCCGAAAATGTATTGTGGGTATTTTATTTACAATAATGTATTGATGGCAATTTTTTATTTGCTCATTATGAAAATATATTGCTGGTAATTTTTTCTAATGTATTTATATATTTTCATGGTTGGTCCCAGTTTGAGGGCTGATGATTTGCTGAAGAAGAAACTTAAAGCAACAGAAATGTAGGTTCTACAGAAAGAAGGATATCAAGAACCGAATATCTGAGCAAGGACGAGGTTTTAGAGGAATGGAAACAAAAAAGAAAACTTATACTTAATATGAGGAAGAGACAGTTAAGGTTTCTGGGGCAAATGATGAGGAAAGAAGGCTTGAAAAATCTAATACTCACAGGGCAGATTGAGGGAAAGAGAGACAGGGGAAAGCAGCGAGTAACATACTTGATGGACTTGAGTAAATGGTGGTAGAACGGGGTTTGGGACAAATAACAAAAAGACAACACTTATAAAGAGGTACAAAGGACAGGAAGATGTGGAGGGTCCTGATCGCCTACGTCCTAAAAGGACATGGTACATAAAAGA